ATGTATTGACAGGCATCTGGTTGAGTCCATAATTTAGCTATTGTGAATTGTGCTACTATAAATATTGATAAGTCTATGTCACTGTAGTATGACGATTTTAGATCTTTTGAGAAAATACCTAGGAGTGGGATAATTGTGTCATATGGTGGTTTCATCCTTAGTTTTGTTGAGAAATCTTCAAAGTGCTTTCCAAAGTGGTTGTACTAGTCTGCAGTCCCACCAACAACATACGAGTGTTCCTTTCTCCCCACAACCTTGCCAGTATTTATTGTTGTCTGTATTCTTGATCATTTTCATTCTGACTGGAGTGAGATGAAATTTTAGTGTAGTTTTGATTTGCATTTCCCTGATTGCTAGGATGTTGAACATTTTTTTTTCATGTATTTATTGGCCTTTTGTGTTTCTTCTATTGAGAAGTTTCTGTTTAGTTTTTTTTTTTTTGCGCATTTTTTTGATTGGGTTGTTTGTTTGGTGCCAAGTTTTTTGAGTTCTTCTTATATTCTAGGTATTAGTCCCCTATCAGAGGAGTATCTGGCCAAGATTTTCTCCCATTCTCTAGGCTCTTACTTCACACTCTCAATCTTTTACTTAACTGTTCAAAACTTTTAATTTTAATGTCATCCCCCTTATTGATTCTTGGTTCTATTTCTTGTGCTTTGGGAGGTCTTGTTAAGGAAGTCTGTGCCAGCACCTATATGATGGAGTGTTGACTCTACGTCTTCTTCTAGAAATTGTAAGTTTTCTGTCTAATTCCTAAGCCTTTGATCCATTTTGATTTGTATTTTGTTCAGGGTAAACGATAGGGGTCTAATTTCATTTTTTTCTACATATAACTATCAGTTTTCCCAGCACCATTTGTTAAAAGACTCTCTTTAAAAAAAAAAACATGTTTTGGGCATCTTTGTCAAATATCAGACAACTTTAGGTTTGTTGGTTTCTGTTTCTTATATTCCATTCCATTTGTATTCATGTCTATTTTGGTGCCAATACCATGCTGCTTTTGGTACTACAGCTCTATAGTATAGTTTCAGACCAGATATTGTGATGCCTCCTGCTTCACTTTTCTTACTTTGGCTATTCTGTGTGTTTTATTCTTCCAAATGAACCTAAGAATTGTTTCTTTCTAATTCTGTGAAGAATTTCATTGGTATTTTAATGGGGCTTGCATTGAATCTGTATATTGTTTTGGTAGTAAGGCCATTTTGACAATATTAATTCTGCCTATTCAAGAACATGGGATGTCTTTCCATCTTCTAAAATCTTTTTTCAGTTGCTTTCTTCACTGAAACATCTGTATTTGATATGGTAAAAATTCTTACCTGGAGGAATGATACTGGAGCAATTAGCTAAACCTTTTGGAATGAGAAAAAGAAACCTAAGTCTTTATCTGACTTTTTACAAAACTAAATTTCATATAGATTAATGACCTGAACTACACAAAACCATAACAGCATTAGAAAAAATATTTGAGAACACATTTATCTTAAAGTCAAGGAGGCCTTCTGAAGTAAAATTTATAATTTTGAGGGAAAAGATGGACACATTTCTGTACTATGTGAGATGCAGGTGTAAATAACACGAGCAAGCTTTAGGACGTATCATGAAGGGGCTGTAGGCCTCTTCTTCCCTTCCTTATTCCTGCTGATTGGAATGCTGGAATTAGAATATATCTTGGATCTGGAATAACTTTGGGAATGAAGGTCATGCAAAGTGGACCAGCAAGATAACAAGTCTGTGCCACTGGCATTGTAAAGGATCATTTCTGCCTTGGATCATCTATTGGTAAACTCCGTTGTGAGTGAAAATTAAACCCCCCTCTTGTTTAGGCTATGGGTATGTTGTATGTTATTATTTTTTTTGAGGCAGGGTTATGCTAAATTGCTTTGGGTCTCATGGAATTGCTGAGGCTGGCCTCTAACTTGTAAGCCTTTTGCCTAAGTCTCCCCAGTTACTGGATCACAGGAATGTAGAACCATGCCCTGCTCATAACTTAAATATTTAAAAAATTTACCTAGTGTCTAACTAACTAAAAACACTCTAGAAGGGCTGAGGTTGTGTCTCAGTGGTAGAGTGCTCACCTAGCATTCATGAAGCCCTGGGTTCAATCCTCAGCACCACATAAAAAATAAAATAAAATAAAGATATGTATCCACCTAAAACTAAAACATAAATATTAAGAAATAATCTAGCAAATTTTTATATTAAAACTATTAGAAAATTGGGGGG